GCCGGTGCCATCCTGCCCTTTCCGGTAAATGTCAATTTTTTTTCTTTACAAAGAAAGAACACTTCACCCCGAAGAAAAGAAACGATCGATAACTTCACTTCAACTGGGTTTTAAAGTTTCTAACAAAAACAGATGACAAGTACAAGATTAATCAGTACAAGGTTCTGCTGTTGTTGTTGGAACGTGGGATATTACACCACTATTCCAAGTTTAAAACAGACAAAAATTTTCTTTATGAAACTTTGGGGGTGTTTCACATCTTTTGGAACGTGGAATATTACACCACTATTCACCAAATGGAGATTTGGCCTTTAATTAGATTCAAAAAATTAATTTTTTAATCTTAAAATGTGTAAAAATTAATTAAAAACACCTTAATTATTAAAAAAAATTGATCTCATATGATTTGACTTGTCAAATATATGTATGTCTCATGGTAAGGATGTTATGAAGAATGATGGAATGCTGTTGAATATGGAAAAATAAGGTTAAATCTTTAATTTGATCCCTAAACTATTGTATAAACCCTCAATTTGGTCCCTAAACTAAAAAAGTTCCTAATTTGGTCTCTGAACTATTGTACGGATCTTCGATTTAGTTCCTACTGTTTACCAATTTGCCCCAAGTTGGTCCTTCTATACAAAAACAGCTGACGTGTCTTGTTATTAACGTGACACGTGGCTGTTAAGTTACTATTTTTCGCCATTAAATACTAGACACGTCAGCTTTTTTTTGTATGAAAAGACTAATTTGGGGCAAATTGGTAAACAGTAAAGACCAAATCGGGGGTCCATGCAATAGTTTAGGGATCAAATCAAGGATTTTTTTAGTTTAGAGACCAAATTGAAGGTCTATACAATAGTTTAAGGATCAAATTAGGGATTTAACTGAAAAATAATAATATTAGAATGTTGATGGAAGAAGGGTTAAAGCTAATTATAGTCCCTCTACTTTTAATTTTCATTCATTGTCCTCCCTATACTTACAAATCATTCAAAATCCTCGCTCTACTTTAACTTTTCATTACATTTACCTCCCTCCCCTAACACCACACTAACATTGTTTATAACTCCCATCTCACATAAGCATCTTGGACCATTAAGTGTGACGGTTTCTTTATATATATATATATATATTTATATATTTATATTTTGTGTTTGTAAGCCCCACAAAATAAGGGAAAAAAACTCAAAATCCATTAATTTAACAAGCATATACTAACTAGTAATTAATTTTAGAATTCTTTAATTTTCAATGCTCACAATCATATAAACAAAGCAAGTCTTGGTTTTTCTATTTTCATTTGTCTCTTTTCTTGACTACCACTATGATGATCTTATTGTCACATTTTATTAGTGTTAATTTTATATTAAATTATTCTTTTCAACTATTTTTTTTATCTTGAGTTACACAATATAAGCTAACTCTTTTTTATCTCTTAATCAACCTTATTCACACATCATAGGACTCGAACTCATAATTTCTTATTTTCATTAAAAAAAATATCACTATTAAACTATTTAGATCATTAGCTTCTTTTTAACCTTTTAAATCTATTAATATAATTGAAAGTTAATATGAATGATGTTTTCAAAAATTTAGACCATATTTGATTGAGTTATTAACAAATATTTTTTTAATGAATAGTTATTAAGAATTAATTAATAGCTATCTCCTTTAATTAGATGAATAAAGGTATTTAAATTATAAACAATAATAATTGTTAATCATTATATATGGAATATCATCTATTAGTAATTATTAATAGCTAAATTAATGCTTTATTTAACCATGCTTCTTACATTCTTTTTTCAATAGTACTTTGTCTAAAATGTAAATTTAATAATTTTAATTAAT